CCCCCCTGCACCCCCCCCCACACAAAATCCGTCTATGATTGCTTGTATACATTTTTTCCAATCCAAATTAAATCGCTTGACTGCCCAGGTTGACAATCTTGCCAAGATCCCAGCAAGATCTTGACAAGATCTTACCAAGATCATGCCAAGATCTTACATAAATCCTGCAAGATCATGGAAAGATCTTGCAGGATCTTGCAAGATCCTGCAAGATCTTGCCAAACATCTTGTAAGATCTTGCCATGATCATGACAAGATCTTGCCATGATAATGGCAAGATCTTGCAAGATCCTGCAAGATCTTACACGGTAGGTAAGATCCTGCAAGAACTTGGAAAGATCTTGCAAGATCATGCAAGATCTTTCCATGATCTTGCAGGATTTATGTAACGTCTTGGCATGATCTTGGTACAAATCCTGCAAGATCTTGCCATGATAATGGCAAGATCTTGCAAGATCTTAGGTAAGATCCTGCAAGAACATGGAAAGATCTTGCAAGATCCTGCAAGATCTTACGTAAGATCCTGCAAGAACTTGGAAAGATTTTGCAAGATCATGCAAGATCTTTTCATGATCTTGCAGGATTTATGTAACATCTTGGCATGATCGTGGTACAAATCCTGCAAGATCTTGCCATGATTTTCCAAGATCTTACCACAAATCCTGCAAGATCTTGCCATGATCCTCCAAGATATTACCAAAATCCAGCAAGATCTTGCCATGATCTTGCCAAAAATCCTGCGAGATCTTGCCATGATCCTCCAAGATCTTACCAAAATCCAGCAAGATCTTGCCATGATCTTGCCAAAAATCCAGCAAGATCTTGCCATGACCCTACAAGATTTTACCAAGTTCGTGGCAAGAACACATGGCAAATACAGAATGAAGAGGCTCTACATGAAATATACTATACTCTGGATATAACTTTGATTGAATTTATCAAACTAACGTAAAAGTGTACAATATTGCCATAAATTCAGTGTCGGTCTTTATTAAATTGTAATCAATTAGTTCATCCAAATTATAATAGGCTACTCAAGCTTTTACCCGGTTTAGTTTGCATAGTAAATGTAGTAAATTAGGCCAATAATATTGGTAAAATATTATCAATATCTATGGCGATTGAAATAAAGTCCGAATGAAAGTTCCACCTTGCTCAATATTTGAGAGAAAACAAAAGGAATCTTGTCTGTTCTTAATAATGTTGTTCTAAAGAATCTCATGAGTTTCAAGATGGAACTTTTATTCGGAGGTTGTTTCATACTTTACTTCATGAAATTATATTAGCATTGACACCATTGTTATTGCAGGTTCTTCGATTTTGTTTTTCTTCGCATATCGCGGCACTTTTGAATTTTGATTGCACGCATCCACGATAATTTGGCGTGTTTTCTGTACTTTTTCTTCGCCCATACTTGGCGTTGAGGACAGCTATATCGTAAAAAAAGACTGTGTTAAAGTAAGTCTATTTTTTGTATTTAAGTTCATTTCAATGTTTACCCGAAACACATTGCCATTGGCAAAGAACACTAGTACTTTTTATTAACACATAATGTGGCAACTTACTGTAGTCTTAAGTTTGTATATCTGTTCACATCTGGCCAGTTAATTTTTCTTCAAATCAAATCACATATATTATTCTTACCAAACAATTTAGTGACCCTGTCGGGATCTAGTGCTGGTTTTGGAGATCTTTTCGACTGGAATAGTATTCCATCCTGGAACTCTTCAGATGAAAATAGGAAGTATGGAACGCCATGTGTCCAAAAATGATTTAACGTTAATTATATCATATCATGACTAAAATTGTCATTATATATAAATAATTGATAAACGAACAGACATTATATCAAATCATGACTTATTCGTTTTTGTCATTATTTGGTATAATGTTATTAACATTAAGCATTATATCATATCATGAACTTCCGAAAAGTCAATCTGTCATGATATGATATCAAGACATTTCGACAAAATCATTATATCATATCATGACATTTCGACAAAATCATTATATGATATCATAAGCATTTGTGGAAGTCCTGATTTGATGTAATGCTAATGCGTTACACTATGATATCAAATAATGACTTTTCAGTTGATTCATGATATGATATCATGCAAAAGAACTTTTTCATTATATCATATAATGAAACAGCGCCGAAAAGTCATTATTTGATATAATGCAATAGCGTAGTGCGCCATCTGTCCATAAATTAAAACTGTCCAGAAATCAATTAACCTTATAATAACTCAAACTTCCGGTAACTTAAAACCTCCGGTTCATGAGCCGAAGGCTACAAACAAATCTCTTCGATTACGACCGATCTGGCTCCGCTTTGCGCTTTCAACTCAACAGCTAAGAATCCTGCTTGCATTCGATTCTTTTTAATTTAAAAAGGCTGAATTTATGGCGAGTGGCGAACGTTGCTGGGAAGAAGCAATAACTAGAGTCGTGCGAGGAGCAGTTTGGTCCGTTTGGCAGACAGAGGGCCATTTAACCTTTAAGAAAAAAAGATCAAAGTGCCGACACAAAAACATCCTCAGAAATTTGTAAATTTTCCTCTTACCCCTTAGAAATTAAGTCGCAGAGATCAAAAGATGCCGACAGGCTTAACCTCTCAGAAACGACTTTGGGGCACCCTTCAGAAAAATTCATCCATAGGGGGAGGGGGGTGGGTGGACATTAAAAGGGAATGCACCCAAAGGACCGAACCAATTCTCGCCTCCGGCATAGAGCGCGTCTAGCACGTACAAGTTTAATTAAGTTGATCAAACGTTATAAACCAGGTTTGTATGACCTACATAGTGTTCCATATAAGTACCGAGACATTAAGCTTTGAATATTTATCAATATCTTAATTTACATAAAGGCCGCAGAGAATTATCCTCAGAATGCACCCTGGGCAGGCTGAGCTATTTCTATAAATAATGGTGGTGGCAACCATATAATAAAACTAATAATAATAATAGCCGACAAACTTTGCGAACGACTTGCCTCACCAAATATCGAGGGCAGTGTTGTTTGCTCTGGTTGTTTTTTGTTTATATCATGGTTGCCACCACGGATGTTTGTAGCTCTGGTGCTATTCTGACTGGGAAAAA